TTATTCTGGTATTATGCCTGCTGTTTCTCAACTAAGCTGTCTGGGAAACAACACTCTATCTACTATGTTTCAATAAATTACTTCTCAGTCGTCTACAAGCTAGGGAACACATACCTAATCTGCCCAGTAGGATAATCTCCAGAACTCGAGCGCAAGTATTTTAAAACTCCCTTTTTTTCCCGCAAAGGCATCTTTCAGTCAGTGTTGAGATCAAGTTCTCCAGATGTGTCTCAACGCAGGGAGATTATTATGTCACCATACTGCGTTACCAGTGGAAGGAAAGGAAATGAGACCACTGTAAAACCTGTACGTTAACAGTTTACTTTGGAAGAGTGGAAGTGATAGAGTTGGCGGGTTTGGAAAGTGCCCTTTAAGGACCCCTGCTATTTTTTTGCAGTGCATCTTCTAGATGGTACGCATTGCTGCTGCTGAGAGTCGACGGTGAAGCGAGTGAATGCTGAATATGTTAGATGGGTTGCTATTCAAGTGGACTGTTTTGTTTTGGGTGGTATCAAGCTCCCTGCGTATTGTTGGTGATGCAGTCATGCAGCAAGTGGGGAGTAGTCTATCATACTCCTGCCTTATGCCTAGCAGCGGTAGACGAGCACTGTGAAGTCAAGGTACTCACTGCAACATTTATATATTTTATTCTCATAGAATATCCAGCCGCCAACATGTTTCGATTGCCACAGTATTTATACTGTTAGACCAGTACCCTCTCTGGTCAATGATAGCCCCAGGTTATTAATATCAGGAGACACAGCGATGGAAATATCATTGAATATCAAGGAATAATGTTTGGTTTCTTTCTTGATGGAGATAGGTATTGACTGTTGAACATGTCATGCAAATGTTACTTGCTGTTAATCAAATCAAATTGGAATGTTATCTGGATCTTACTGTATATGTGTGTAGCCTGTTTCAATATCGAATGGAATGGTGCTGCACATTGTGTAATCATCATAGGATATCACAGTTTGAGAGTTTATGATGGAGGTTAGATCATTTATCAAGTAGCTGAAAATGAGTAGACCTAGGACATAATCCTGAGATACTCCTGCAGTGATGTCCTATGGCTGAGGTGACTGACCTCCAACAACTGCAACTATCTTCCTTTATGCGAGGAATGACTCCAACCAGTGGAGATGTTTCCAGTGAAGGCAGAAATAAAATAAAAGACAAAACTAGTATAACGGAGAGTGAGGATGAAAAGAGTAAAGAAGAATAGCCGTAGTGTGGAAAATTATTAAGAGACACTGCATGCCATATGCGACATATATCTAAGACTAGGAAATGGAAAGCAGAAAGAATGATTATTTCCTCTTTCATAAAGTGATAGCAATAAAGGAAAAGCCCACTCCGATTCTGTAATATTTTTAAGATAAGGTGCAATTAGGGTACATAGGGCTCCCAAAGATAGTGGGAGTCACCACATGGTATGACGTCATAACTCAAAATCCTGTCGGTACTAGCCAATTATACTTTAGTTAAGGATCAGAATGCAGTCCGAGCCGAGTCTCAGATTAAGACCCGAAGTCAGGGATCGGATTTGCACCTTCTGGCTAATCAGAACATTACATGCTTTTTAGCGATAGCTAATTATAAAGTTAGGGATTTTAACTAGCATGAAATACTATTCGGAAAACATGTTAGCTTTCTCTTATTTTTGGGAGCACTTAGTTTGAATAAATCTACTCCATTTAACTGTATCAAGTTTGCATTTTGAAAACTATTTGGCTTATAAACATCTAGCTTGAAGCATTTAATTGGCAGCTAGAACATGTGACATGTACGGTGGTTCGTGATAGGTCGATTTTCCGCCCTGAATGGGGCGTGTAACTGTATAGAACACAGAACATTACAGCGCAGTACAGGCCCTTCGGCCCTCGATGTTGCGCCGACCTGTGAAACCAATCTGAAGCCCATCTAACCTAAACTATTCCATTATCATCAATATGTTCATCCAATGACCATTTAAATGCCCTTAAAGTGGGCGAGTCTACTATTTTTGCAGGCAGGGCATTCCACGCCCTTACTACTCTCTGAGTAAAGAACCTACCTCTGTCCTATATCTATCACCCCTCAATTTAAAGCTATGTCCCCTCGTGCTAGCCATCACCATCCGAGGAAAAGTCACAACTATATGCAACACATGGGAGTGTTTTTGAGCTCTTCCTTGCATGTATTAGTTAAACTACTTGATTTGATTTAATTTATTGTAGTTACATGCACCGAAGTACAATGAAAAGCTTTGTTCTGTGAGCAGTACAGGCAGATCATAGCAAACAAGGCCATACAGGTCATGAGATAGAAGGGTCTAGGCCCGAAACGTCAGCCTTCCTGCTCCTCTGATGCTGCTTGGCCTGCTGTGTTCATCCAGCTCTACACCTTGTTATCTGACATACAGGTCATAGCGTGCTGAGGCAGAGCGAGGCATGAAAATTGTGGCTGCACAGGAGGCGCGCAACTTCTATCTTGGATTCGAACTGTTGACTTTGTTATTTAACATTGTCTACACATTCTTTTACCCTGATTCTGAGTGACTCCAGGTTTGCTATGTTTCTTAATGCCTCAGTTGGTCAGATAATGCTTTGATGTCAAGGGCAATCATCCTCACTTCTGCTGCCGAGTTCACAAACCGCCCACATTTGGACAAAGCCTGTAAATGATTTTATGTACTGGGTTGGGCTAGTGGAACGCAAAATGAACGTCAGTCAGCTGGTTCATCTTGACAAAATGTTTCTTGTTAGCTCTGTGTTGGTGATGCAGTCTATGGCACATTCCATCACTTTGCTAACGGCTAAGAGTTCATTGATGGACTCTAATTGATCTTGTTGGATGTGTCCTGCTTTTAGCGCACAATCTATAGTTGGAAAAATTGTCCATTAAATTCCAGAGTTCCATTTGTACAAGGACAGTTTGGCTTGGAGTAAGGCCAACTTTGGTTAAAAAAGTTCTATACTGTTGTCGGAATGTTCTCAAAGCCAATAGGCATTCCAATATCCAGTTCTTTCGGCCAAATGGTAAAATGGCGGCGGAGTGGGAAGTTCCAGCCGGAGCTTCTCCGCTCCGCCCGTTCTTTTTCTTCTCTTTCATTTTTTTCTCCCTCTCTCCTCCCTTCTTTCGGCCTCGGACGCCTGTCACTGACTCCAGGACTCCAACGTAGGTTTGGCGGAGGAGGCTATTTATCGCGTGTTCGCCTCCAGTTAGTTGTTTAGATGTTGACAATCATTCAGGATTAGACATGCTAGGATTAGAGAGTTTAGATCTGCTCAGTTAGTTAGGGTATTGTTTAGCTCTGTCAGTCACGTTTTTCCCATCATGCATGGCATGGACGTATTCTTGTGCAGTGGTATTGCTATGTTGACTCTTTTTCTTTGGGTATGCAAGGAGCTGGAGCTACAATCGTGCAGGCAAGTAGAAAGTATTCTATCACATGCTTTGTTCGTGCCTTGTAGATGGTGGACAGGTTTTGGGGTGTCAGGAGGTGAGTTATCAAAAACTGAGTGTACTATTGCAAATATTGTCTGACTTAGACTCTGTACTAGAGAAATATTACCTCATAATTTTAATTCCAATCATCTTGTGACAAACACCAACATTATACTTCCCTTTTTCATTTCTTATTACACCTGTGCACTAGTTTTCAGTGTGTTTTTACATGGGCACCTAAATTTATTCAATAATCCACAGTTCCGACCGACTGAATATTGAATAAAGTTTCCATTGATGTTATTCTGTGTGGACGCATCATTTGTCACTGTTGATCTTGTCAGTATTTTGGATATTTACGTTGCCTACGGGATTTCATTACGGACGTCATGTAGCTCACTGTGACAATTAATATTGTGCGACCTGCAAACTCATATATATATCTCGCTACACTTTTTCTCAAGTCGTTACTATGTGTATTAAAAAGCGGTTGTGCTGGAATTGATTGCTTCCGGAACCCAGTTTCCCCACCCAGGCGACGAGGAAATGAATCCTTACTCCCTGTTTGCCTTCTTCTGCCTCCCATCCAATTGCTAACAGTTTTCTTCGTAGTTTTATCCGTAGATAGCGAAGTTTTATTTATATCTCCTAGCTCTGCACTAACCCACTTCGCAAACTGGTTTTTGATGTTCCAAGTGCATCTCTTCACGGGCTCTTATTATAAGTTTTGTTGTATGGTGCCATAAATGAGAGCATCTGCATTCAATCTGACAAAATGTTCTTTGTAGGTTATCACTGATAAAACTTATTAAAATAAACTTCAGATCGTTTTAGCAACTTGTATTTCTGTATTTTGAGATGTATTGATTTGCTCAGTCAGTCCAAAGAAAGACAATATATTGTAAGTAGATACTGCATCGAGTTCATGATTACTCTGAAGTAGAATTTTAAAAGCATGGTTCTTAACTAAGTTGATTTCTGATAAAGGCCCCACAAAATCTGCAGCTGTGTTTCGCAAAATATTTTAACATTCATGTCGAAATAACTACGATGATCAAGGACAAAAGATGTTGGATTATTTCGGGAAAACAAGTGCCGTGCAATGTCAATAACTGCACAGCGGAATTAGGGCCTGATTTCACAGAAAAAGGCAGGTATAGCGATTACTCTGAATTTGTAAACCCAGATGCATTGGCACATTCACAATGTGCATTTGATATTAACATGCACATAAAGTATAGCTCATTCCCTCTGCCAGCACGGGTCAGCTATTTCCAAAAAAGATGTCGTAAAATTAATTTCTTAAAATGTTAGATTCAAACAACACCTCTTGCTTGCATGCAATTTCTGTATCCCAACTAACATACGTGATGTGTCCAAAAAAGCATAAACCATTAAACTTGACTTTTTCTCACACTCAGAATGTTGCTATAAGCGGCTTCAGGGACATCGGACAAAAATAAATAACCCCTGCATCTGAGATCATGGAACACACATTTTATTACAAAGCGATATTTGCAACGTTTCATGGAAACTTTGATGGTTTCAGGGTAAACGCGCTGCAAACTACAGAAAACAGGACAATTGTGGCAGTTTGAAATGTTCCATTTAAAATTGAACGCGTAATAGCAAACTCAGCATCTTAGTTTTCAAGAAGCTTCTCTAATAAGGTGAGGAATAAATGCACAAAAATCTTCTATCAGATGCATTTGGATCTCGCAATAGTTCTTTGAAGCGGATTTGTTAGAGTCTCGTGTTTAACCGCACAGGAGTAAAGCTCGTGTGAGTTCCACTCTGAGGCTGACAGGGTCAGATAACTGCTCACACTGAACGTGTTGTCCTTCTCCTGCTGGATCCGACTGGTCTCAACACCATTCCCCCTGCCACTGCCGTCAACTGTCCACTCAATCTCCACGGCGCCCGGAATAAAACCACTCACCAAACACACCAGAGTCGCCTTGTTCTTTTCTGTAATTTGAACGGATGAAGGCGGCAGGAGGGAAACTGTGGGAATCCGTGGATCTGTAATGTAGAAATAAATGAAATTGGCTTAAAACTGGAATTAATATTTTACTTTTTTTTCAAATCGGAGAACCTGAGACCCGCAGCCCTAGGAAGGATATAACCCGAGAAGATGTTTCTACTTTTACTAACTGTAAGGTAAAAAAAATGAAGATTCTCCAACGTGAGAAAATGTTAAAACGGAAAATATATAATACTGGACAATAGGTGTGTTGGAGAAACACAGCAGGTCTGGCATCGGCCGTAAAGAGAAAACCCTGCGAAGTCATTGAACTCCAAATATCAATTCTGTTTTTCTCTTTACAGATACGGCCTGCTGAGTTTCTTCAACACTCTGTTTTTGTTTCAGATTTTCTGCATCGTCAGTTTTTTTTCTGTTTAACATAAGACGGGATCTCAGTAGCCCGTTCAAATATACTGCTCTGACGCAGCCTGTCACAGTGTCCCAGGACCCGAGGATTAGAAACAAAGTAAAAACCGGCAAATTAGAATTTGGTATAAAACCTGGAACCAATGCTGTCATGACAACATTTTACAACATTTATTCCATAAACTCCATTGCCATCTTGATTCTTGCGTGCTTCTCTTATTTTTAGTGGTGGGAGTTAGGTGTGGAGGTGGGCTTTTTAGGATGATATCTGTATTTCTGTACAGCTACTATTCCTAAGGCTCAGCTCGATTATTCGTTTGGACTTTTCCCGCTCCCACCCCTGTCGGCGACAACACTGGAAAATCGCAGAGGGTTCTCCCCTCGCGGTCGAAATACCAAAATCGGCGACATCCATGGCATTGGAGTGATAAAAAATACCGTTTCACCAAAGCGAATGAGTTTCCAAGAAATATTTCCCAACATTGTAACCATATTGAATAAACATAATCAGTCACTATCGGTGAAATGCAAACACAATGCCCTGGTCAATATCGATCCCTTAGACAATACCGCTAAACACAGCAGCTCGCTCTCACAACGCTGTCCACCGGTGCACGGTCGCGCGTATTTTACACCACAGAAACATACTGCAGCACTTCAACAGTATGCATTGACAGCCACTCACCTGTCCTGAGGTTGTGTTACACGCTATACCAACTCTTAGTTCCTGGAGCTCCTTTCTGTCCTGCCAACCCATTTTCACTTACTTACGGTCCCCGCTATCAGTTTGTCTTTCTCCTTGGCATATGAATATCCACCCCTTTATCTGCCCAGCTGTCTTTCTCTCTCTTTGGGCACCATTTCCGCTCATCCGGTCACTACCAACACACTCCTCTCCCGCACCCCTACCCAGTCCGAACCACCGGTTCCACACCTGCCTTCAAGCTTGTAAAAATTGCAGTGTTTAGCAACCACTTTATTCTCTTCCTTCTGATTAAACAGAATTATTCTCATAGTGCTGACTATAAATTGTAACCCCGTTGTAACAATTTCAAAGCAGGATTTTTACGGTTTCTTCTGTTTCTAAACAACCTTTCGCGCCGATCACGGACAGCTGCAAACACTGAGTGAAACGGTGTACATAATCCGAAGATTAAAACAGTCCTTTTTCTCGTTGGTGATCTAGAAACCGAACCGCTACAATTGGTTATGACACTAAGTTCCAAAGTCAGGCACAACAGCGCATGTAACCAGCAGCAGACTCGCCAGTCTCAGATAAACAATCCAGCCGCATTCTGAGAGATCCTGGCTGTGACTGCGTTAACGCAGAAATTGGATTAGCGTTGATCAAACTGGTTGAGCCCAGCGCAACAGAAAATGTTCCTGCTAGCCCTCGGGATTAATGTGAAAGGTAGGACTGAGAATCTTGGACTGAGCGATTTTCATTGCTTAGAGATGCTTTCGCAGTCTCACACTTGGAAGGGCGCTTATATCGCGGCGCTGTTTTCACTAGAATGAAAAAGGCATCGTGCGAAAATTGTAATTAGTGTTTTGAATGTTTGAAACGGGGCTTTGAGGGTCGGGATACAATTCCCAGGCGAGACTCGGCGCTGGTGTTTTGGGATTCGGTGATTTTCCACGAAAATGCCAAACTCAAAGCGAAACTTGGTGCTCAGGTGACCAAAAATTTACTTACTGTCCAGGTTCAGTTTGGTTCCTTTCCCGAATGTTACTTGCTACAGCGCAGTAGTAATCGGCGGCATCCTCCGACTGTACGTTGGTGATGGTTAAATGCATCTTGTTACTCGATGAGTCCACAGACCCCGTAAATCGATCTGGAATTTCCGAAGCAGTTTCGTCGTACTCGTCCCAAACCAACACCGGGGCACTGCCGGGTTTCTGCCAGTACCAACTCGCGGAGTAGCTGCCGATGCTGCCTCCGGACATGGTACAGGTAACCTTCACCGTTTTCCCCGGGGATGTTGAGATGGATCCTGGCTGAGTCAGAGCAGGATCCCCGTATACACCTGGTGAAGTGACAACTCAGAGATCAATCACACATTGTAAATTCCGAATATTGTCTTAGTTTAGCTCATGGCAGTTAAACGGAAGAGTGACGCACAAACAAGGAGCAATGCTAAAAGCAGCTATAGGGCATATTAACATGTCTACTTGCTGTGGAGACAGAGCAACAGTGCGGCGAGAACTCCAACCCGTTCATTCATGGTGAAGGTTCTAGTGCCTGGCACAATAACGTGTTTCTGGGATCTTTCCAAACCTCCCATTAAGTATCTGCAAACCTGGCGATGTCACTGAATTTTAATGATTCATGCAAATCTATAACCACGTGATATCGGCCAACAGAAACCCCGGGCTCACATTGGATTTGCATAAGCGCATTGCAACCATTTTTTTTGTAAAAGAGAAACGATATGTCAAAGCCATCGACTATTATACCAGAATGATTGAATCCAACGAAACAAAAGATGCAGCACAACCAGGAACAGAGATTAGATGGAAAATGTTGTATTTCAGAAGCCCAAAAAATATAAGGGAGAGCGAAAACAGAGGGTGGTAATCGACAAATTACCAATGAGGTCCTTGCGAAGAATAAGTTACTGAAGTAGGTTTTATTTGTTCATATGGAGGAAGGCGAAGTTAGTTCAGGACTGATCGTCCTAAAGGATGGATGGGTGGAAGTCATTCACTTACATTTACATTCATTTCTTCATAATTTCTATCAAAATTACTTCTCACTTCACCCTGTAAAAATTCATTTGCCACGGGCAAACCTCGTTTGTCTATGTCCTGTTGAAATATCTGATCATTCTCCTCAAGGTTTGCTACAATTCCGAGTTATTGTCTTCTCTAACTCTTAAAAAAATGCCTGCATATCCAAGCCAACAGTCCATAACGACAGGAGAGCAATTGCCTCATCAGTGATTTTTGGAGTTAGAGAAGTACATACTAACCCAAGTCTGGGAACAACTGCTCACCAATTTCCTCTGTCATTTAGCTAAATATTTAATAGTGGCGATGTAATAGAATTGACTTCATCTTAGCTAACATGTTTATTATGTGGTACTGTATCAAATGGTGCGTTTATAACTCCAGTTACAAAGCATCGAATATTCACTGTCCAGAAACTTTCCTTAGTGTTTCAGAAAATCGACCTTGTTAAACACCATTTCCCTTTAATACGTCCTTGCTGGATTTCACTTATAAATCCTGATTTCGCCACGTGCCTGCTAATGTTATGCCAAATCGCTGTCTCCAAACGTTTTCCAACTGCTAACGTTTGGCTGTTTGGCCTGTAGGTGTCCGGTGTGTTGTTTCTACTGAACAGGAATAAAACGTTTGCATTTCTGCAGTTCTCGGCTTGTACTTTTACATCTAATTTAACCCTGGGCGGTAGGGCATCACTGAATAGGCCAACTATTATCACGTCCCCAATTTCTCTTGACAAGATGATGGTGAGACATCTCCTTGATACAAGGCTCTTTATGTGTTCTGGGGTGCGGACAAGGGGCCTGGGGATGCAGATATACTCACGGCACTATTCGGAAGGGAGTTCAGGATTTTGATACAGCGACAGATACCTCCAAGTCCAAATGGCCTGTGACTTAGAGAAAACCTTGCAGGTGGTGATATTCCCAAACATATGATGGCCTTAACCTTCTAGGTGATAGAGGTGTCAGTTTGCAAGGTGCTGAAGAAGGAGCCTTGCTGGGTTACTGCAGTGCATTTTGTAGATGATGGCCCGGTCAACTGTGGTGATGGGAGTGTACGTTGGAGATACTGAATGTAGTGCCAATCAAGCAGGCTGCTTTTCCTGGATGGTATAGAGCTTCTTGCTGTCCACGCTAGTGCAGAGCATTCCACAACATGCTTGCTTCATACTTTGTAGACGGTTGACAGATTTTGGGAGTTAGGAGGTGAGTTATTTGCTGCAAAGATCCGAACTTCTGAATTATTCTTGTAGCTGCAGTTTGTCCAGTTCAGTTTCTGGGCACACAAGAATATTGATTAAGCAGGAAATGTCACTTCCTGGCACTTCTGCTCTGTGAATATTATTTACCGCTTATACTTGGCTCGTTGTTGTTTGTGTCTTGCTACATATGGACAGCTAACACTTCATATTTGAGAAGCGATGAGTCAGCTGCTGAACATTGTGAAATTATTACTGAACATCCACAGTTTCGACTTCATGATGGAAGTGAGGTCATTAATGAAGAAATTGCATATATTTGGGCCTACAACACTACCCTGAGGAATTCCTGCAGAAATGTCTGGAATTGAGACTACTTACTGCCAAACAACGTAGCCGTCTTTCCTTTTGCTAGATATGACCTAAAATGGCTGAGAGTTTTCTGCATAATTCTAGACTTGTTGGGTCTACTCGATGCCGTACTGGATCAAATGTTGCCAGAGATATCCGAGGTACTTTCACTTTCCCTCTTGCGTTCAGATCTGTTGGCCATGTTTATGACTCAGCTACAATAAGTTAGGATCTATGTGGCACTGACGAACTGAAACCGATCTTTTTAAAAATCTATTCCAACTAATCACTCCATAGATGTTACTAAACATCACTGGAGCAAATGGAACTTGAACCTAGGCCTCCTGGCTCAAAGGTAAAGCTACTACTAATGTGCCACATGACCTGAAATCAAATGACAATATGTAGCTTAATTCTAATCAGGTGTCATTTGATAATACCGTAGACTACTCATTCCATCACTTTTCTGATGACTGAGAGTAGATTGTTTGGGTGGTAATGGGTGGGTTGGATTCATCCTTTTTTATTTCTGTGGACCAAGCGATTTTCCACGTTGTTGGGCAAATGCCAGAACTGCAAATGTTCTGGAATTGCTTGAGTCTGGGTGCTTCTAGGTCTAGCGTACAAGTCTCCTATACTATTGTCCAAAGGCTATCAGGGCCAATAGTCTTTTCAGTATCCTTTCCATCAATCGTTTCTTAATATCAAGTGGGGTGAATTGAAGTCGCTGAGGACTGCAATCTGTGATGCTGGAGACCTTTGGAGGGGGCCGAGATGGATTACCAACGCGGTACTTCTGGCTGAAGATTATTGCAAGTATCTCAGCCTTGTCTTTTGCACTGATGCACTAGGCTCCACCATCAATAACGCTGGGAATATTTGAGCAGTTGTTTAAGTTGTTTAACAGTCCACCACCATTCACGATTGATTGTGGTAGGACTGCAGAACTTGGATCTGATCCATTGTGTGTGTGATTCCTTGGTTTTGTCCATTACATGCTCTTTCTGCTGGTTGGTATGCAAATAATTCTGTGTTGTAACTTCACCAGGCTGTATGCCTGTTGTTGATCTTGTCATCGTATTGCACTTTCTGCATTGAACCAAAATTGATGGTAATGGTTGAGTTAGGGATATGCTGTACCAAAAAGTTAAAGATTACGGTTGAATACAATTTTGCTACTGACGAAAGCACATAACGTCTCATGACTGCACAGCCTTGAGTTGCCAGAAGGATTTAAAATCCACCCCACTTAGCAAGGTGAGAGTACCACATAACACAGAGGAGGTGTCCTCAGTGCAGAGATAGACATTTGTTTCCACTACGACTGTGCAGTTGTACAATGTGTTCCCGTAAAAAAATCAGACTGATACCTGTGGATGGTGTTAGTAATATGTGGCAATGTTTAACATAACAATCCAACAGCTGGCTACGATTAAAGTGTATTACTGCGCTCATTGATGCAGTGGTAATAATAAGAGAGCAATCACGTTGGATGTTTGACGTAGAAAATCTAGAACCTCCGATATAAGATAATGATGAATTGTTAATTATACAAGACGGTACTAATGTCTCATCTTTAGTTATTGATTCAGTGTGATGCGGTCGAACGCACAGTTTAGATGCAGTTGAGGTTTCACAGACCGAGTCTAAGCAGTGGAGTTGTGGACAATTCATGAAATATCAAAATATTTAAGTAAAGAATTATAGCTAATCTGAATTTAAATGTGTAATTTACGTGGTTTGTATTTTGTAAACATTTTTATATTTTACCGCAGGATGTTCAAAGAAATCTTTCACGTTCCCCTATGTGGCAGACATATGCCATACAATATTACCACCTAATGGTGTCTCAGCATATGACAGCTAGACATCATCAGCGCCTTCCAGCTGACAGAAGAGGAGGAAGTTAGATGCTGCAGCGTTTGAGCTGTCAATCAGATGTTTAATTAACTGTAAACTTCAGAAAGAGTAGGCATTCAAGGCTACATTCAATGTGCATCTGATGACAATTTCGTACATTTTATTTACGTATTGTTTATTGGGATGTGGACATCATTAGCAAAGCCAACATTTATTGCCTATCCGTCATCGTTCACTCAGCCATTTCAGAGAGCTGATGACTGCCAACCGCATTTCCATGGAATAGTTTCACAATTAGGCCAAACCAGATAATTTCACCTTCCCTGGTAGATATTATTGAACCAGGTATGTGTTAACAACTATCAATGATATTTTCGTGGGCCAGTTTTCAATTCCAGAGTTTGTTAATTGAACTGGAATTCCACAAGGTGCCTTGTTGGGATTTGAACCCTGTTGCCTGAAAATTATCTTGGGCATCTCAAGGTGTTATAACTCTGTCACAACTGGTCCACATAATGGGTACTTTGAAATCTAGAAAGTACTACTTTTTTTTACTATAATGAACAGGCACTGCCAGTCTGACATATTGGGAAAGGGCACAGGAGCTAGAGTAACAGACTTGAATTCCTATCAAGACTATGGAAAGTAGATCGGGAATTTCACTGGACCCCAACTACGCTTACATAAATTGTGCAATGGTGGCGTGTAAACCAAAATGATTATATAAATCCGTTGTGGACCAGCTTCTTCTGAACGTCCTTAGAAGTTACAGCTGTGGAGTGGAGGGACTGGAGGACAAGGGTTTCCTGGATTAGATAATTGTGTATGCAGAAGAGTGATCAACAACGTGAATCCAATTAAAACAGTTTAGGATGCTGGGCTGGATAGAAATTAGAGTGTAGCTTGTTGTAAAGACAGTTAAAAATTCTATATTTCAGCATCACACTGGAGGAAACCAGATTAAAAGGCAGTGTGTGCCCCTATCAATTGATTGCCCCAAACTTTAAGCAGCCAGGCAGGACAGCAGGAGATAGCACTCAGGAACAAAAGAAATACACAACATTTCAAACTGGGTCCCTTGCTGCCTCTTCAGTGGCACTGAATTAAGGAGGCAGAAAAAAATAGAATGTTTGGGCGAGCACCATCATCAAAAATACTCATTTATGTCGAATGAGGCTGTCAGCAGATGGAGGTAACACTGTCACTGCTTGTTGATTTTGACCTGCACAGGACTGTCCACAATTACCAGAAGGTGATCACTGTGCTTACCAGAGGAATCAAGGCAATATCGGGCACCAAAATACTCTGTAATCTTAAAATGGCTCTTGGTCAACTTATTAGTCAGCTATCTTTTGCATAACTTTCGAGGAAATTCTAATTTAGGACATTGCACGACGACTATCGCATTTCCCTACTAATTCCACGTGTAGCCCGTAAATCACTTCTGCGACTTGGAGGAAGACTTGCAGATGATGGTATTCCTTTGTGCCTTCTTCTTTCTTTGTTCTAGGTGGAAGCACTACGGACTTGGGATGCGCTATTTTTTGGAATCTTTGGAAATTTCTTGCAGTGCATCTCGAAATAGAGCGCACTACCATCACGATGCATTGTTGTTTTCAGTAGAATAAAATCGTAATGTATAGAACATAACTTTGTCACTCAAAAGCCTGATGTCAAATGCCAAGGATAAAGGGGCTGTGTGTGGGTTGTTGCAAAAATCAAGAGAAGGTATTAGAACAATTTTCACCATATTGTATATTGACATGAAAAATAAATGAATGACATTTCATGCATAATTGACTGGCAGAACAGTAAGGGTACAAGAGGAAGCCATTCCTTCCATTGTGTCTGGGTATTTTGATTCAGTGCCTGGCATTTTCTTCCAAAAATTTCCCTGCATATTGCTTCTATTTAAATCATCATCCAATGCCCTCCTGAAAGCTTCAGACGATACTATCTTGACCATACTTCCAGATGGTGCATTCGAAACACAGTGAGAGGCAGGAGGTTCAGAGGAAATGTGAGAATTATTCTTATTCTGAGGGTGGTGGGGTTCTGGAATTCACTGCCTGTAAGGATACTAGATGCCGAAACCTCATAATATTTAAGAAGTATTTAAACGGTACACTTGTGATGCCAATGGATATAAGACTATGGGCCATATGCTTGGAAATGGGATAGGAATAGTTAGATCATTATATCTCACCAACAGACTCAATGGGCCGAAGAACCTTTTTTTCTGTGCTGTAGACATTTATGACTCTATGACCACTCGCTGTATGAATGAGTTTTAGTTTTTCGCCTCTCGTTTCTTTCTTTTGCAAACCACTTTATGATGGTGCCCTCTAGTTTTCGATACTTTTGCAAGGGACGGTGTTTCTTATTATCAGTTCTGTCCAGACCCCTCATGATTTTGAAAACTTTAATCAAATCTCGTCTCAGCGTTCGACATTCCAGGGAAAGCTTGCAATATCTCTAATACGTAAGTTATGGGATTGGAATGTCCGCCTGCTAAAATCATTGAGCGTGATTTTTGTTCAGACTTTTGTAAAGCAACATGCAAGTGATCAATTGCAGCATTTACGGAATCTACAGTCCTGGAAAATTACAGGCCCTACCTCGTTTTAACTCTGCTCTGATTAGAATTATTTGCATGTTTTCAGCAATATAACAAATAAAATACATCTAAAAATCCAAATAAGAGCCAGCAATATGCCCAGTTTGATATTATAGAGCAATATGACCAGGTTGATATCATAGGTATACCTCATAAATGCCGAGGGACATCCTATGATATGAAACCTGGGGGTGGTAATTATCGAAACAGCTGTGTGATTACTGCGAGTGAATGTTTGTGGCTATCTGTTAGTACACATAGAACAATCAATGCCGCTTCAGTAAAGTTTTTACTTTAGCAAAACTGCCCATAAAGTCACGCAAATAAATATATGCTGTGAAGCTGCTGCATCCTTTTCATGCAAGGCGTGAGGCTGTTCCGCTTCATTCTGCATCGATTCCCACTCGCCACCAGTTTAGTTGGATCCAGCAACATGTCCATAGGGAATGCCATGCTCAGGATGGTGCGAGAAATCTTTGTTTTTCGGCGTCTGACTCTGAAAATCTGACAGCCTGATACAGACTCCAGGGAACCATCGTCGAACACAGGCTGGCCATCAAATAAAAAAAACGTCATCCATACTCTGCGTTTCGTATTTCAAGATCAATATTAATTGAGTGCATTTTACTCCAAGTATGGTCTAACACAGCGCCTAAATATGTTTAATATTTTTCAACAGTTGCATTATATTCGTTTAGACATGAATGCGCCTGCCTTTACTTTACAGTTTTTGAACACTTTCACTAGTTTTGTGAAGTCCAGCAGTTAATATAGCAGTTACTTTATTCGCAAACCAGTCCGAAAGCAACATGGACTAAGGAAGTATCGAGATTTTATTGTGTGAAGGTGAATTTCATATGTGTTCTCATATCAGAGATGTTCTGAAATAAAAACATGGGTTGCTGAGTTGGTATTAATAGCACCTACTTCAATGTAAACATTGATGATTAACTTTGAAAGGAGAAATCTACATTGTCTGGAACTGTTCAGTCGCAGGTCAAGCAGGTAAGGACGGCAGTATCCGTTACCTAAGGAACCCAGATGGTCATCATTCGACATATAATTTTGGATTTGAAAAAAAATCCACCAGCTGCCATGCCATCAAACCAGGTTCACAGAACATTGTGTGCGTTTCTGGAGCATGTGTCTAGTGGCAATACCAAGGCGCCACCACCTCGCCTTTCTTTCTGTGAATTGTAACACATAGGGAGACCAATTTTTGTTTATGCTTGGTCGCAGTGTCAGTGTCAGTTTCAAACTGCCAGCTGGCCCTATGAAGTAGATATTTGATCAGCCATTCCCGAACTAATCACTCTGGACCAACCCAAGTGTGCGAAATTAGAAAACAAATTGAAGTTGGAGCTAATACAACATAGAATTCGGAGAATATGCAAGCAAATACTAGGGGAGTCCTGACACCCTGCGTGAGTTGGTTCAGTTGCTACAGAATTAACACTTTACTGCCACAGAGCACAGTAAACATAACGTTAAAGTATTATCACTAAATATCCTTTAATGTGTGAATCCTTTGTAGGCTTTAAATAGATTGACATTGAGATTGCGACAAATCTTTAAATTCTGCAAGTGAATCAGTGGACAGACAATGGAATAACCCATTCCAGATGGATACATTTAGATTGTAAACCAAGCACTAAAGCAGCGCTACTAGTTTTGCTTGCATTCTTAATGCAGTGATAGACAAGAATAAGGAAGTGGGTACGAAGGAAGGGAAGCAACATGAGCATATGCAATATATCAAAGAATAAAACACAGAGGGATAATTCTCAAAATATGGTAAAAATGTATATGAAGTTGTGCAGTATGAGGTTGTGGCGTAGCCGGGATAAAATGTGCTATTAGACATTAGGCAGATGCTGTGGTACACTCCGGTAAACAACACTCTGTTAGTTATATCCCATGCAACAAAATAATTGAAAGCCAAGAGCAATTAGCTCACAAGTCTATTACATAGCCCTTCACTGTGCTATACTTCGGTACGGTTCCTGACTATTGCTCGGATGCCGTGATGACTTGACCTGCCTTCCCTCACTTCGTAAAGAAAGTGTCATAAAGGCAAAACGCCTCAAGAAGAGCATCTCTCATCCCTCCATGAAGATGAAGTCTGCAGAAAATAATAGCCACGCTCAGAGATTGAAGATTGAGCTGAGAAAAACAATGTTAGCTACAAAAGAAAGCGATTTCTTTTTATATACTGTATTCACCGGAAACTTTCCTTCAATGTACTGTTCCATTTTAAATTTGGTGGCAGGGTTGTAGACAATCGGAATCTGTCTAGAATATCTCGGAATATGCACCGTGACACTTTAAAAGTAAACTCTTTGCAGGCCTAATATTAGTTACCGTTAAAATTGTTATAGATTTTAAAAAACCTGCAAGGTAATTTCACTCATAAGGTCAATTCAGCAAATAGCAATGACAGAGCCATTTGAAAAGTATATGAATTAGATTGCAAACTCTGACATCGTAATTCTTGTCTCCCGTAAATTGCATACAGAATGAAGAACAAGCAGCATTCCATCAAGTCAGATAACAATAATGGATAAATTAACTGCACAATCGGACTCTTATGATGCAGTGGCAGCACCTCTGAACCAGAAGATGTAGGTTCACATACTATCTGCTTAGAACATGCCTGAACAATTGAATTTAAAATGTCTGAAAGGATTAATTGAATTTAATTTGTCTGAGGACACAAAGTGGGACAGAAATTAACACCAAAAGCGGAAAAGTGCGGGATCTAGAGTTGGATTAGCAGTGTATAAAATAGATTTTCTCTGCAATAAATATCTCCAGGACATTATTAAATGCAAAAAGTGAAGAATGCCCAGTTGAAACATGCGAATATGGTAAGGGCATTGTTAAACTGCAATCTGTGACATTGTATGAACAGAAATCAATAGAGCAGATATAAATAATAATCCTTATATCCATTCCATTCCTTATCCAAACGCCGACCTTCCTCACTATCATCAGAAAACACAACAGCAGTTCTCAGAACTCGGCTTCATAACTTTAAACCAGCCGTCATTCATCTGATGCCAACATATTCATTCCTGGCAACAGGGATACTCTCCAATTAAACAGTTGGAAGAACGATACCTTAATCTCAGCCCTCCACACACTCCTTACATGGAAAAAGATTTCATTCTTCAGTGACCAATGTCTGTGCTTAACCACACTGTCTGCAAAATCTTCTTCCAATTAGATGCACATCCAATTTGCAGACCCTGTATTGCTCTGAATTTTCCTGGAAGGTGTTATGGATTGTCAGTCGCCACCGGGAAAGCAAACTTAAGACCAGAACTAGATCTACCACAGTTTATGGAATAATGAAACAAGTTTGAGCCTTGTAGGAGATTACAAGGGATCTACAAAATCCCGGACCTCCCAAGTACAAGGAGAAACAAAACAAGTGAGCATTCAGTGCCAGATGCAACTAGCATACATCAAGAGAGTCAGCGTAGCTTTCCAAGACAACAAAGTTAGAATGCGGCGAAATATGTGCCAATAAGTGAAGTCAGTGCTATCATTATTCATTTTGGGCACTAGACTTGAGCTGAAGTAATGCCCAGATGGTGAATGAAGGTACCCAAGGTTGTTTGTATAAGAGGCCTTGAAGACTGAAGTAGGTCACCTGTCATGTGCCTCATTTAGCCAAAATTCGGAACTCTAACAAAGAAGAGAAACAACAGAGAGAGAGAGAGCAAAAATAATGACATCAGGAGATGAGCCACGTTAGGTCCAATAGGGAGCTATGTCTTGGTCTGGGAACACTTGGAAAAGGACACAGAAATCAATGAAATAGTTAGTCTCCAGAAAGGGTATACCCCAAAGCTTTGTCAAGCAGCAAGTTTCTGAAGATGTCCCCTCCCTAGCGGGGTAGTCAATGATTTGTGTGTCATATTGGAGGACAAGCTGAGCCCATGCTAAATGGTAGTTAACACATGTCAATGGTACTGAAGGTTCACCTGACACAGAACATCTATGCCTCTAGATATTTTCAATGGTCCACTTGATGTAGTTCTGGATCTTGCAGACTGGAGCACGAGAATGCAACATGCTGATGGTAAACATCCTGTCCAAGACAGCCAGGAATTATGTATATTTGCACACTAATCTGGACAGTGAAACTAAATGAGTCGTGGGTTTCATGGTAATCACTGGACTCTTCCAGGTGCAGAGTGTGATCAACTGAACGCATGTGACCAACTCCAATTTACAAGTCTGTGCCTGTCATCATTATGAGGTGATCGATGTATATCTAATCTGTGACAACGGCAGAATGATCTTTTAGATGTGTGCACAGTTCCCGTGAAGTCACCATGGTACATATATAGTCTAGCAGTCTAACAAGACACTTATTCCTGCTTCATGCATGTCATAAGGGATGGATACCCAAAGTTAAGTACAATACTTAGAGCATATGTTTACCAATCCCTGTGAAGATATCATGCACAGTTGCAGAGAAGTGCTTAGCCAAGTGAGCTAAGGGAAAGGAAATGAGTGGTAAGGACCTGAAAGCTTGATGATTTGTTATTGGAGGTGAGGATTCCGGAAGTAAGGGAGATTTGATCAAAAAAATGAGTGTCATTGCATATCAGACTGGGACTTATGTTCCCAGTTCATTGCTGGTGGAATAGTGAGCAGATAGCGTAGAGGTAAAGAGAACCTGATAATTCAAAACAATCTTTGATTCACATCAAAGAATCATAGAGTGCCTATTATGTGTAAGCGGGGCAGTCAGCTCATCAATCCACACTGACCCTCCCAACAGTATCCTACCCAGACACACGCCACGAGCCTATCCCGATACCCTCGCACTTCCCACGGCTAATCCACCTACCTACATATCCCTGGACGCGATGGGCAATTTAACATAGTTAATCCACCTACACTACACACCTTTGGGCATAGAAGGAAACTGGAGCACCCAAAGGAAACCCACGCAGACATAAGGAAAATGTGCAAACTCCACACAGACAGTCGCCCAAGGGTGGAATCAAACCTGGGTCCACGGCACTGTAAGGCACCAGTGCTAACCACGGAGCTACCGTGCTGCCATCAAAGGGCAATTTCCAGAATGAGTATCCCTTTTGCATTTCTATGAACAATTTCAAGCAAAGACGTTTACACCACAGGGATTTTATATTAAATCAGACTGCGCTGTGAGATAGGAGGAATGTCTGAGAGCTGGCACCGAGCCGCCGCAATGTGGATGTCAGTATGCCAGACAACAACTGCATCAATCTTGTCGGGAGGCTTGTTTATGAAATCAGGTTGGAGCTAAGAGCACGGAGTGCAGTCAGTTCTGAGGGACCTAGTTTTGAATGGGTGAGGAGTCAGAGAAATGAAGGCAATCAATGTCATGACAACAGTTCTCAATGAGTTGAGTGGAGGAGGAGGACTCATCCAGCGAAATGGACATGGTGATGCAGGTGACTGAAAAAAAGTTCAATGTCATGTCGTGCCTAAAATTCATTGAGGTCGGTGTGCAGATGGAGAACACTAAGTCCTCTGCTGAGTACAGAACGTTCAGAAAGAACGGAAGTTCAGAATGAAGTGTAAATAATCCACAACAGATAGGGTTAGGAGATAGGGATAGAGACAGAGGGAAGTGAAGCGGAGGAAGGCTCCAGAAGGGCATGAGGACATCTGAGTTCTTGTGGTTTTCACTATTTAATGCCTGAAAGGGAGATAAAATGTTTCTTGTTAGAACATCCAATGAACGGGAGGATGAAGTGGAACTATGGGGCAGGACAGCTTTGACATCGTGTGAGGCGGTGCTGATGGAGAGAGAGTTGGAGACTGTGCATATGGAGGTGCATGGCACTGAGTGTGAATCTCAGGAAACAGCGAGAACAATGACTTCTGCTCCTGTAATAGTAAAATAAGATATTTTGCGACTATTGTTGAGTAATACTGTATAATCATCATTTAGTAATAGCTATTTCATGGAAATAACGAATGGGGAAACATGTAATGGTAACAATTGTCGTGTGAGAAAATAAATTCCCACTTTAAATCTCGCAAAGTGTAGATTAAAGACAAAAAAAGAACTGTTCTGAAGAAGGGTCACTGGACCCAAAACGTTAATGTTGATTTCTTTCCACAGATGCTGCGAAAGGCGCAAACGTTTTTCCAGCTGTTTCTGATTTCCAGCATCTGTACTTCTTTTGCCTTTAGATTATGGGCAACTGTTTTTTCATTTTCCCTTCACGGTGATTTGCCTGCTTTCCCGTTTACACATTAAATTGACTTCAGCGGTGTTATCTTGCTCCAACGCTTCGGTATTTGGGACACAAACGTTAGAATTTGCTTAGTTTTGCTCCACAGCAACGTTGTTGGGCAAAGTGAGACATTTATTTCATTAGACTCCCAATGGCAGTGTTTGAAATCAAGATTTAGTGCCTGGGAACCTACCAACATCGTAATTTGTCCCTGGAGCATGTTTCACAATTCATTGAGATGCTCTGTGATGTTCCAACTCAAATCCACTTTCCCGCCCTAAACCCATATTCCTTCTTTCAACAATGCATCGATGTATATCTGGAATGTAATCAACGACACATGCATTACCTTCTCAGGCGTAGCTTTTCAAAGACTAAGAAATTTATCCTCATGTCAGTCATTTAATGTCGCTTTTTTTCGACTATGGATTTGAAGACAAAGCATAATGCTTTGCCACTGAAACATATCCCTCCCTATTAAACCAACTCCACTCCACACTGCTGTTGTGTTTGATTTCCCTGGAAATCAGCTAGTATTTTGTTTGCACTCTTTCTGACTACAATAGCTCCCACACTTGCATGCAGCAGTTTAACTGGTGTAGTCCTATATTAGACTTAACAATGATGGATATGAATGGGAAGCATCCCTCACAGAATCACAGTGTGTGCAAAGAAAATTTCTTTTAAAATTGTGACTTTTATCTAAGCCTTTTCACGTCATAGTCCTTATGGCATCGATCGTTATGAGCTTCTGATTTATGACTAGAAGCAGCTGATTCGAAATCGGCAAAACTGATCATTTAAAGTCATCAGATAATTTTGAGAGAGAAAATCTGTAGAATCAGAAACTGCACCAACTATGGTCCCTAATGCCCAGAGCAGAGACAGTGGCAAGATTTGACCAAAAATTGCAGAAAAAAGGTTGGTCACAAGTCCTGACACTAAGTGTTGTGCATTCCTGGCACAAACATAGACAAAGGGTTCAGCACAACTCCCAGAAGGACAAGAATCTTCATTGAAATATATATCTTGCGTGAGTTAGCCATAGTAAATGCAGGGTTATGTAGTTAGTGTCGGGGGCTGTGTCTGGCTGAAATATTCCTCCGAAGGTAGGTGCAGACCCAATGGGCCAAACACAGTCATAGAGCCATAGAGATGTAGAAGACAGAAACATACCCTTCAGTCCAACTCGTCCACGCCGACCAGATAGCCTAAATTAATCCAGTCCCAATTGCCATCATTTGGCTCATGTCCCTTTAAACCCTTCTTATACATATAACCATCTAGATGCCTTTTAAATGTTGCAATTGTACCGACCTCTAACACTTCCTCTGGCAGTTCATTCCATGCATGCACCGTCCCCTGCGTGAAAAAGTTGCAGTTTAGGTTCCTTTTAAATCTTTCCTCTGTCATTCTAAACCGATACCCTCTAGTTTACGACTCCCCTACCCTGGGGAAAAGAACTTGGCTATTCACCCTATCCATGTCCCTCATGATTTTGTAAACGTGAATAACGTTACCTGTCAGCCTCCAATGCTTTAGGGAAAATGGCCCCAGTCTATGCAATCTCTTCCTGTAACTCAAACCATCCAACGCTGGAAACATCCTTCTAAATCTTTTCTGAACCCTTTCAAGTTGAACCTCATTCCTGTAGCAAGCAGACCAGAACTGAATGCAGTATTCCAAACGTGGTCTAACCAATTCCCTGTACAGCCACAACAAGACCTCCCAACTCCTTTACTAAATGCACTGACCAATAAGGCAAGCATACCAAATACCTTCTTCGCTGCCCTGTCTACCTGCAACGCCACTTTCAAGGAACTATGAACCTGCACTCCAAGGTCTTTTTCATTGGCATCACTCCTCGGGGCCTCACCATTAAGTGTATACGCCCTGCCCTGATTTGCCCTGGATTAAACTCCATCTGCTATTCTCTGGTCCACCGGCCATCTGATCAAGATCCCATTGTACGCTGAAGCAACCTTCTTCACTGTCCGCTAAATTTTGGTCTCTTTTGCAAAATTACTAACCATGCCTCCTATATTCATATCCACATCATTTATATAAATGACAAAAGCAGCGGACCCAGCAGAGTTCCTTGCAGCACACCACTGGTCACAGGCCTCCAATCCTAAAAGCAACCCTCCACCATCACACTTTGTCTCCTAATTTCGACCCAATTATGCATCCAAATAGGCAGTTCTTACTACATTTAATATGATCTAACCTTGTTAACCATTCTACCATGCGTAATCTTGTTGCATACCTAACTGAAGTCCATACAGACCATGTCCACCATTCTGCTGTCATCAATCCTCTTTGTCACTTCTTCAAAAAACTTAATCAAGTTCGTGAGATGAGATTTCCCACGCACAAAACCATGTTGAGTATCCCTAATCAGTCCCTGCATTTCCAAATACATGCAAATGCTATCCCTCAGAACCCACTCCAACAACTTGCCCACCACTGTGTCAGGCTTACAGGTCTATGGTTCCCTAACTTTTCCTTACCACCTTTCTTAACTAATGGCACGCTGTTACCCAACCTCAGTCTTCTGGCACATTACCCGTGGCTATCAATGGTCTGTCTGCACTCTAAAGATTCTATCTTTGAGATATTTTATCCTTCTAAAGTTGGGGACTCGACCACTATACCACAAGATCACTCACGTCTGACTTGGAGGCAGTTATTTTTCACCACCTTGTTCAGACGACATATCACAGGCAGAGGCATGTGGGACTTGCATGCAAGCCTGCTGGCTTAAATGAACGGACTCTACCACTGCACTACGAAAGCTCCCTTGTGTCGATCTTTGATTTTCTTTTACGTTTGAATTCAAATTTTCACACTCTGCCAGGGTAGAATTCGAATCTATCTCCCCAGAACATTTGACCAGGATTACTAATCCAGTAACATTACCACTGAATCTCACTGTCCTTAAGTCCAATTTTGAGGAGATATTTTCTAATTAGCCTGTTCAGAGATGTTATCACACACCTCTAGATTAGATCGGACTTGTTGGCAATGATATCAAAAAATGTGCAGAATGCTGAAAAAATGAAACTTCACGAGTCGCCACAATTAGATAGTTGTTGTGAATTCTATCAATGACAGAGGATAGAAACTATATAAACGTTTGTGGTAACAAATAGTCATTCTCATTATACTGAGAGTATTTGCACGTTGATACTTTGAATAACTCAGGGTGAACGCAACTGTAAAACATACACAGGGACTCCGCCGACAAACTGCAACCTGTTGTGATTTAAAATTGTCGACTTTGCAGAATTTGTTTGATTTTATGCAAAACTTGCTGCTAGCATAACAAATCGATGCATAAGCCATTTGAATCAAATACAGCTAGATGTCGCGATACTTTTTTTGAAGTGGGTTTGTTAGAGTCTCGTGTTTAATCCCACAAGAATAAAGCTCGTGTAAGTTCCACTCTGTGACTGACAGGGTCAGATAACTGCTCACACTGAACGTGTTGTCCTTCTCCTGCTGGATCCGATTGGTCTCTACACCGTCCACCCTCACACTGCCATCTACCGTCCACTGAATCTCCACAGCGCCCGGGTTACAACCGCTCACCAAACACACCAGGGTCACCGTGTTCTTTTCCGCGATTTGAGCAGCTGAAGGCGGAAGGAGTGAAACCGAAGAGGCCCGTGGATCTGATAAATGGAAATAAGTCGAAGAAGATCGAATTATTAATTAACATGTAAATCGTAATCAATGTTTCACATTTTTCAAATAGTTGCAAATTACACATCACTCTTCAAAGCGGAGTCTCATTGTGACAACAATGCAACCCTTGCAGCTGCCGGTGCTAAAAACCATGTGACCTGAGAGGATATTGCCACTTTCTAGATGGCAAGGCGCTCATGCATATTCTGAAGAAGGAATTGAATCAAATCGAAATACAAGGACTGAAATTCCCTGAGTTTTTAGGAGAAAGGATCTCAATCAATAAATTTGACTTAGAAATATACTAGTGATGAGAGAAAAAAGATATAATATTTAAGGCACAATATTTAAGGCCGTGTTAAAGACGAAACAAAAGTTTCCACGTTTTTCCTGTTCGTATCGCGCATTTTCTTAAAAAAGGATGTAGATAGTCAACTGTAAAGCGCGCTCAGATGTCCTCAGATCGTGGTCGGCTGTATATCAATGCAAATCCGTTCCCATATTTCCAATCTTAAAAAGAAACGTACCCATGATAGTCAGCATGAAGTAGGGCAGTGGAATAGGATGCGTTGAGATTGAACTGTCAGAGTCTCCTGCCACTGCCTCAAGCTTTACCGCCTTCGGTTGACAAAGTGAATCATTCAATCCATTTGATTCTTTCATATAGAGCAGAGAAGAAAATATGAAACTGTCATAAATCTGTTCAAGTCTACGGTTAGACAGTGGTGTCACTATAAAATTGTTTGTGACATTGCTGTGCGCTGCTAGCTCTTCCGGAGCGCCTCCGTAAGTAGTCCCTGATCCTTTTAACAAATCAATGCAGTTCTGAGGAATTCCCCTGGAAACCGACAACGTCTTTTTTGTGATTTTAAATTTGGAGAGCGACTCACCGCGCAGTCTGAGAAGATATCGCAAACGGGTAATAGCATAGCTTTATAATCTCCTTGCAACGGCTGAAGACGTTGTACATTGTGACAGTGGAATTTCTGAAATATCCTGGGATAATGGAACAGGTTTTGCCTTCTTTTATATCATTGTCCAAATAAAAGTTATCTTCAGCGAATTAATTGAGAGTGGAGCTTGGAAAATTTGGCGTTTGTATTATTAGAGAAACTTTGCAGATACGATAGAATATTTTCTGTTTTTTATCTTCAGTTGGTGCATAATAACAATGAAAAGACAAGTCGAAATGGCAATAGCGAATGCGTATCTTCGCTAATGTTACTGCTCTTACGCTGATCGCAGAAACAGCGTAAAAGTGCAACTGAGAGAATATAAAATATGTGCCAGAGGCTTTTGTGACTCAGTGGTGTAGTCGCTCCATCTTGGCCTGGAGACGCGGGTTCAAGTGCACCTGCATACCGTTGGTGAGTCCAAACAGATTGATATAAAGAATTCCAACCAATATAACCATCTGATCACTGATTGCGCAGATCTCACAGCACCATTCGTCGAATGGGTAGATTCATTAATAAAACACACTTCATGTCCATCAATGATGTTTGTCCGCTCGGCTGGCTATCATTTTCACGAACTATTTTCTGATATGTTGATGTTAGTCTGCGGTGATCATTGCGAAATGTGAGACTTAGCTACTTTCATTGCGTTTGGAGGCGAAGGTGAATTCCATCAGTTTGCCCCATTGTCCATCCTTATTCAAGATTGGGGATCCAAGCTCCATAGATCGAAGTAGAATGAAGCATTTAAAAGTATGTTTCAACTACTTGAACAGGGCTATCGGAGGCCGGGGTACGTCAGTCTGAAAAGCCAGATACCAAAGAATTTTAGTACGCAGAAGGAGGAGACTTTTCCCCTCTTTTCTCTTTTAAACACTCCCTTGGTTCTGCTATCTCCATTCTTAGAGATAAGTCATTGCAGTCCGAACCCTCCCTGGGTAAGTATACATTCCATCCTGTCCTTTCATACTTCTCCCAATGAAATTAAGTTTATCTCCTCGGGCTAGCAGCTGCCTGATCTCTGATAATGGCCGCATTCTATTAGAATATGGGACGTGATGGCAACGTTTCTTCACCTTGGCTTTCTCCTAAAGTGCTTTAGGTATTTTTAATCAATTTATTTCTGGATCTTCAAACGGATCTCTGGAGCAAGGGGGACTTCAGCGCGGAGCCTTCTAGCCGAGCATTAGGGACACAACCACTGCCCATAAGAGCCGCGCTTAACCCATCTAAAGCCAGGTAATACTGGTATCATCTGGGAAACGATTAGACCTACTTCCTGTTTACAGCCCAGATCTTCCACTTCAAAATTAGTCGCATTTCATCCTGACTGACCCTTACATATCACATGGTGCCGATTTAATTGTAAATATACATCAGAACAATAGACGAGATGTGATCTCGTTTAGTCTACAAAGCAAATGATTTAAAAGTAACTTTGAGACTTCCGCTGTAATGGCGCATTCACATATTTACTGCCCTGTTTAATTTGGTTCCTTTCCCGAAGGTGAATTCACCAACATCTGCCAGAGCGCAGCAATAATCGGCGGGGTTCTCTGATTGAACATTGCTGATAGCTAAATGCATCTTGTTACTGGACGAGTCCACGGACCAGGTAAATCGATCTGGAATTCCCGAAGCCGTACCTGTGCTTTCGTGCCACACAAAGACCAGGGCACTGCCGGGTTTCTGCCAGTACCAGATCGCGTCGTAGTTGCCAATTTTGCCTCCGGATATGATACAGATGATGTTCACAACTTTCCCCGGGGATATTGAGGTGGATCCTGGCTGAGTCAAAGCAGGATTCCAGTTTGCACTTGGTGAAATAGTGAAGATATCGACAAGTCACATTCGCAATTTTGAATACTGTTTGTTGTCTACGTCCACCACCCCGCCACCCCCCCACCCCCACCTTAACCAATATACAATAGGAACAATATAACAATAACGAAGGTGCAAGTGAACGCCTGTACTTACTGTGGAGACATAACAGAGAGGTGAGTGCTCGAACCCATTCAGTCATGGTGAAGACTTGTGAAAATCAGATGAACAATAATTCCTGACACAACTTGTTTTGGACTCTTTTCAACGCCTTCTTAAGAAATATCAGCCCTGACAACCAGTGAGTATTAAAAATGCATGCAAATGTCTATTCACATAAAGCGAATAATTGGATTCTGCAAATTGTGTCGATTTTAATTTGCATAGAGCGCATGTCAGTTATTTTAGAGAGAAACGGAACTACAAAGACATTGAAATCAGCACGGAAATGGTGGAATAACCCAAAATAAAATAATCGTTGAAATATCAGGAATTAAGCGAGCGAGTTTTGAATATTAGATTGGTGAACATTACAATAGAAAGGTAAAGCTGAGGATGGTAAATCGTGGTAAAGCTTTTGAATTCCCAGGGAACCCGATTGAACGAGCAGATATAATTTGATATTTGGTTTGTAGGCAGCGAGAGAAAGAAGAGATTGAGCATTTTCTTTTTGGTATCAGAGTATGGACAGATAGATAGATAGATAGATAGATAGATAGATAGATAGATAGAAGACAGAAATTGTCAATTTCTCTCGACCATGAAAAGTGAGTGAGTTACTAAAATACTGAAGTCTTGATGAGTTGCATGTTGTGAGGAAAATGACAATGACATCGAGCCTTTACCATGAAGTTACATAAACGGGACTTCGAAGGATATTTAATGTTACAGGAAACTGTAATATGGAACAATTGAACACTATGTAAAAAATGATGAATGAGTCAAATGTAGTAGTTGTTAACAAGGACGGTGATAGCTACGAAGAACTGCAAACTCAATACAGTGCTGCGTTGAATTGTTGAAGGAATTGTGCGAAAAGTCGTTCCTTCCTACTGGAACAATAGGAACCTCCTCTGAAACAACAGAATCACCTGGATATTCGCACTAATAATAAACGAACATTATCTTCATTAAGTACACATGAGAATGAATGGACAGGGGAGGTGCGAGTGGATTGAAAACTAGCGCATGTGATACCCGCGTTCAGGAAATTGTGTAACAGAATTCCTGATATACCCCGTGGGTAAAGCTTCAGGAAAAAAAGTCGTGAAGTGGACAGATTTGAGACTTTTGAGGTGAGTGGCATGGATGTGTAAAATTGCATTTCCTGATAAATCAAGGCATACGGCTCATTTGAGAACGTTGTTTGCTCAAATCTAAAGACTGCCTTTAACGAATAATCACATAAGTGGCCAGATAACAAAATTGAGGTTCTTGGCGTAGGTGGGCTACTGTTACATTGGATAATAAAAATGCTTTATGGACAGAAATCAGCAAGTTTTAGTTTGTTTCGCCTGGAGGACTCTAGAAATATTAATCGCTAAGTATCAGTGCTGGGACCGTTTGATTCATGGCAGTGGCTTGTTCATTAGAAAACAGGGTAAAATTTCGAAAGTCGTCGTTAGTACAAAATCGGAGATGAGTCACTGAGGTTGATACCAATTAACTGTAATCGGACAAACATAAACTACAGAATGGGCAGGCAACTGGTAGATGGAATTCAAAATAGAGTGGTGTGAGGTTGTGTATTTTTTGCAGGACCGTTAGGGTGAAGCAACATATAATTAAAGGGAAAATTCTGCGAGAACTAAGGAACCTAGGGATCATGTGAATTTAGCTTCAAAGGTGGCAGGCCGTACTGACACATTAGGGCTTTTTAAATTATGGCATGACTTGTGAATGCCAATGGCAAGGTCAGCATACACTGCTCATTTCTACACAAACTAGACGAATATTAAGCTTTTGAGATAGAAGGTGTCGAGTTCATAGACAGAAACGTTATGGAGAAGATCTAGAAAAGTGAGGGTTGCGTCTACGGTTGTGTTCAGTTCTGCGCACCACACTTTCGGAGGGATAAGAAAATCCTGAAGTGGGTGGAAACAAGATTCATCAAAATAATCCCTGGGTTGACGAAATTTATTTATAAGGTTAGCTTAGAGCTGGTGTTCATGTTCATGGGTAAAAAAAGAGATTGACTTGCGATTTGATGGGAATCTACAGGATAATGTCAAATTTAATTAACATAGAGAAATAAAGATTGCTGCCATTAGTTGATGGTAGAAGAAGTAAAGCGTGAAACTTCAGTTTTTTTGGGTAAGAGATAAAACAAAGATGTGATTAAAGACATTTTTTCGCTGTAAGACATAATGCCCCCTGAAGGGGTGGGAATGGAGGTAGTCAATAACTTCATAGGAAATTACTTTGCCTCCTTGTTCCTTGCATTGGCCTAGTGGTATTGTCACTGGACAATAAATCCAAGAACCCTGTTAATGCTCCAGGGACTCAGGCTCAAATTTCACCATAGTAAATGGTGGACTTTGAATTCAGTAAAAAATCTGTAATTAATGGTCAGACCATAAAGCTATTACCAGTGTTTTGGGAGGCAAAAACCATCTCAATCTCTAATGCCCTTTAGGGAAGGAAACTGCAAGCCTACTTATGACTCCAGACCAACAGCAATATAGTTGATTCTGAACTGCTCTCTAGGCGTTAGGGATGGGAAATAAGGGCTGGCTTAACCAGTGATACAGACATCCTGTGAGTAATTGAAAAAGAAACATACACACCAGAAGGAAAGAAATTTACAGGGCAACAGAGATAGAGAGTAGAATGTCTCCATTAGGTTGCTCTTTATAGACCATGAATGGGCTCGACAGATTCTAAATAGACTCTTTTTCACTCATATTGTTTATATGACTTCATAATATTTTGTCACATAAACACATATTTCCATGAAAAATTGAAAGAAGTAGCATTTTTATTGTTCAGCTGAAAAGCAAGGTGAGCAAGGACTGAAGGTTCCATTTATCATGACCACAACAGGCATGTCTGCAGTGTTCTGTGGACTGCAAATTTGTGCAGCTCATTAATCCCATTGTTTCTGATGCTCCAATTTTAAAATTCCCAGCAACAAAGCTAGTCTTAAACAAATTAATGGGATAGTAGGAACTGCAGATGCTGGAGAATCTGAGATAACAAGGTGTAGAGCTGGATGAACATAGCAGGCCAAGCAGCATCAGAGGAGCAGGAAAGCTGACGTTTCGGGATTACACCCTATCTCAATGCTCTGAATGTAGCGGTTGTCGCGGTTGGGGCCAAATTGGGAAGGCCTAAATGTGGATTGTAGTCCATTGGGGATGATAATCTCAATGTTCTGAATGTGGCAGTTGTCACGGTTGGGGCCAAACTGGGAAGGCCTAAATGTGGATTGCCTGAAACGTCAGCTTTCATGCTTCTCTGATGCTGCTTGGCCTGCTGTGTTCATCCAGCTCTACACCTTGTTATCTTAAACAAATTAATGACCAGTTTTCCTTTATCAAACTGTTACTTAAAATTAGTTAGTAAAATGTAATAGTTGTTATAAAATGCAGGTATAAAGGTAAAAATAAGTACAGCTAAGAAGATACCTGAAAATTTGAAAGTGAGGCCAATTGTTATGCTACAGATATGTTACTTGCTTGAATATTTCTTTTCTGAGGTGAAAGATTTGCAAACATGAAGACATCAACTGCAATGTTTCTCCCATTGGTGCACTGAGCAGACTAATTTCTCTGACAGAGTGAAGGCTCCTTTGTCTACGTCTCCTTTAAATTGAATACAATGAAAATATCTGGAATTAAAAATCTTATAATGACCATGAAACCATTGTCGATTGTGAGAAAAACCTATCCAGCTCACTAATGTACCTCAGGGAGGGGAAATTGCCATCCTCACCTGGTCTGGCCTACATGTATCCCACAGCAATGTTGTTGACTCTCAACTGCCCTCTTAAGTAACCCAGCAAGCCACACAGCTGTATTAAGTGCTGCGAAGCCTCAACAACAACAAAAAAAATGAAACAGGATAGACGACTTGCATCTACCCAGGCACCAGCAAACACAATGGCAAAATCGCCCTACCTCCTTGCAAACTCCCCCTTAGAAACTTCTGGGGGCTCCTACCAAATTTGGGTCAGCTGTCTCACAGACTAGTCAAGCAACAACCTGACATAGGCATTGTCATGCTCACGGAATCATACCTTCCAAACAATGTCCCAAACACCACCATCACCATCCCTGTGTATGTCCTTTTGCACTGGCTACACAAAATGAGCAGAGGGGCGGTACAGTGACACACAGATGGGAGGGAGTTGCTCAGATTTAACTCCAGAAGTATCATGGCTTCAGGAAACATCCTACTGGTTACTGTGTACCAAGATCCCTCCGCTGATGAAGAGATACTCCTCCATATTGAACAACACTTGAAGGAAGGATTGAGGGTGGCAAGGGAGCAAAATCTACTCTGGGTGGGTGATTTCAATATCCACCACCAAGGGTCGGCCAGCAGCAGCACAACTGATTGAGCTGGTCGAGTCCTAAAGGACAAAGCTTGATTGGGTCTGCAGCAAGTGGTGAAGGAACCAACAAAATGGAAAAACATTCTAGGCTTCATCCTTACCAATCCACATGTTGCAGTTGCATCCATCCATAACAATATCGGTAAGAGTGATCAACACACAGACCTTGTGGAAATGAACAGCTATCTCCACGTTAAGAATATCTGCCAATGTGTTGAGTGTCAATATCACCATATTAGAAAGGATAGACTTCAAATAGATCGTGCAACTCAAGACAGAGCATCTATGAGGCGCTGTGAACCATCAACAGCAGCAGAATTGCACTCCAGCAATCTGCAAAGTCATGGTCTGGCATATTCCCCATGCACTCATTACCATCAAGCCAGGGGATCAACCTCGGTTCAATAGAGAG